TGCCTCGTCTTTTGTACCGAACGTACATTCTAGCCTTTATATGAACTTGTTTTGTTTCTTTAAATCATTCCTAATAAATTTTTCAAGTGGCGAGTTTGCACGACGTAATTTGGTTATCTTTTTTTAGAATATCTGTCAGCCGCCAGCAATGTATATCCATTGATTACCCTCACTGTGACAGTGCCCTTGTTGAACACGAGCTCACTGGACCTACTCTCCCATACCTGGCTGTTCAATCAAATACAGACAGACCCCTGCGGCTGATATTACAGAGCAAGGCACACGGCAACAGCTCACTGCACAACAGCTTTTGCTCGGGGCCTGTTCTCGATTATACGAACTCTCACACCACAACTCGTGTTCGATGTATAAAAATGGCGAATGCAGCTGGTCGAACTGCTTAACTGCTTTAAAACGATTGCTGTGGCCATTTTCTACCAAACCGAGTCAAAAATTCGGTACCAATTAAGGCTCGTAATCCATATTGGGAAATTACAAATTTGATCTATGATTTTCAACCTCAATATGCAAAACTATTGCGAATCTTGCTTAAAGCTGAACAGTGCTCGAACGCTCCTGAATCCGCATGTAAACAACAAGTGAAAAGCATCTGAATTTTTTAAAGGCTTTTCGGCTTTTGAACATGATCTGCGGATGGAAGGGAACAACTGACTGACAACACTGCAAAACTGCATTAATCAATTCCGTTGCTGAGGTCATATGCTAAAGCCAATTGAGAGCCTTTAAAATGTTCGGCCAAGAGCTGTTGCGGCACAAAGCACAATAAAATGGCGCCTGGCAGTCAGAAACAAACTTATTGGTAAATACTAAATACCTGAGCCAGTAAGTTAGACTGGCTGAAAGTAAAAAGGCAGCGTTCTAAAGTTGGTTTAAATGCAAGCAGCCTTGACGTAGCAAGAATCATGAAGAGGCGCGAAAGCGGACAACTAAATAAGTGACAAATGCAAGAAAAAAACAGACCATAAAAGTCAGAAATTGCTGTCGAATTTATAGACGCTAATTAAACCACGCTAACAAACCATACGCCGTTTCAGACAAAGAAGGAAGAGGACGCTCTCTGTTGAGCGCGCGAATATGTCGATGAGCTCCATGACGTTGTGCAAGCGCAAGAAGCCTTGCCACCTGAAGCGTGCGTCAACAAGCTAAGGTTAATCCTTCAGTAGCTGAAGTGACAAAAGCAGTAAAAGCTCGGAAAAACGGCAAGACTTCTGAAATTAAAATTAGACCTGAGATGCTTACAGCCCTGAACCTGTCAAACTGCTTTAACTAGTGGCAGAAACACTAGTACACTGACAAAAAATGGATTGTAGTGCCATTCTTTAGAAAATATGGCCACATTAAATGCCGTAATTATACGGATATTACCCTGCTGTATCGAGCTGGAAATAGTGATGTGAAGAGTGTTAGAAAGGTGCTTTCAAGTGATTCAAACAGTGTTTATTCAAATCCAATGATCAGTGCAACTTTCGCTTCTACCGAAGGAATAGCTAGATTTTTGCAATTTATGAAAAACTGTGGAGTGTGTAATTAAGTTTAAAGATAACGGTCGATGATGACCGACAAAAAACATGATACCAAGTGCAAGCGACCAATCAGGGCTGCCTTAAGAAACTCGCAAGACTTAAGAGACTCAACAGAATTCACAGCTCAGCGATCCGGGAAATTCTACAAATCGAGCCACTGCTTTTTACGACGGAGAGATGCAACTACAAGATACGAGTCTAGACGTCGGTCTCTTAAACTTCCATGACGGAGATCATCCTCAGGTATCCTTGATTCGGTAAAGTTCGCGGTGCAGCGCCGGCATTTTGATGCCATCAGGCAATTGTTCGCCGTGAGTCTCCCTCAAGGCTGTATCTGCAGTTGCACTGCTAGCACAAAGTATAGTATTGTGCCTCTTTTCATCAGTAGTACTAATTTATTTAGTTTGGAGGGATGAAAGGCCTCAGGAGTTAACCTAACTGCGTTACTGAGCCCATGTTTGGCTCTACATGAATCGAACTTCGAAAGGATTTACGCGGGAGTTCAACGAAATGAAGAAGGTGGTCATTTAAATATTGTCAGATGCTAAAATGCAAAACATTTCCCGATTAACCAAAGTCCCCGTCTAAGTTTTCATGCATATTAAGTAAAGGCAAAGTTAGTAAAACACCAAT